CCTGACATCTGCAAGTAAAAGAACAATAATGGAAACAGAATAGAATATTAAATGTCATAACAGGTACTAGTCAGGATTCTGCTTTGCACACCATAGCACTGCTGCACTTTGCCTTTGGTCAGAACCCTCCCCATTAAAAGTAGGGGGATAAAGAGAGCAGAGAAAGAATAAAAGAAAAAAAAATCACATTAAAGATCTTGAAATATTCCAGAGAACTCAGAAGGCCTCGAAAAACTATTTCATTCTATCTAAAAAGAATGAGTAGGAATTTGCATGCAGTTCTACAGCTTTCATGTTATTTTGGGAATTCTGAGAAGATTGAAGCACCTTGGAGATTAGGCTCCTGTATTCATATCTGTTCCCAAGTACTGGAGTACCCATATACYCCCCTCCATGAAGGGGGGTTCTAGCAAGCTAGAAACAGCCTTCAGGCACTTCTGAATGCCAAAAGATTTGCCTCACAAGTCCCATATAATTCAACATGAAAGTGTTATTTACTTGCATTGCTYAGGCTATCTCTATAGCACAGGAATAACCAGAATATCTAAACTATTTCCACAGATTATGGTTCTAATTTATGGAGACCAAAAAAAAACCACCTTAATTCTAGCAACTGAGCCAGCTGCAGTCTCCAACCAGAGCATTACGAAGAGAACTGTTTACCAAGTTACACTGCACACACCATTGCAAGGTAAGGGTGWTGATCGGGTATTGCTGACAGAACACACAGAAAAACATTTGGAAGCACAGATGTTGCTGAATCTTTATTAGTCCAAGCTTAAATGGATGGCRAATGGAGAAAACCCAGCTCAGTTCTCAGAACAAACCATAACATGCAAGCTCAGAATGCAACATAAAATAAATGCAGTACTAACCAAGTGATTACATACTAATGAGCTGAATAGGTCAGACTCTGGAATTAAAATTACAGAATTTCTTAATGGCTGCCCTTGAAAACAGAAAAGAATATTGCAGAAGTTAAAGGAATCTGGTGCCTTAATCTAAGGGGCTTTCCAGTACTTTTTGCCAAATTATCAAGCAGCCTGTGTGAAACGGTAACTGTTACAGAGTTCTGCTTCTTGCTTCAATGAAAACTACTTAGATGGCTATCAGAAACCCAGGTGGTGTCTGTTCTACAAATRTGTTTGTTTCCTTCMRCYACAGAATTTGAGAATATGTAACTGCACATCAGAAAGGTAAGTCAATCATATTTCAATTCAGAGCACCCTCTTAGCTTGGTGATAAGAGCATCTGCTTAAAACTGGCAGACGAGAGGAGGAATGCAAGTGGAAATTCTTTCCTGGGAATTCATGATGTGTTTTCAGCTGGATAAACTCTACTGGAATCCTGGATGAAACCCACGGTAACATCACTTCTGACTCTTGATGTTCAGTTCAGTGTAACAAACATGTTTTAAAACCTTAGAGAAAGAGGGGGCGTTTAGTGGACTGTCTGCTTATTACACAGGTTAGAGCTGGAGCCTAGGTTAAAAAACTGCATTTTAAGTGCATTAAGCTACATGAAAACCCCCATTTTTTAAGACTTAAGAGCTACAACCCACCATCCCCAAAATCCTTCCAGTGCCCMCCAGCAAACAGAGTGGCACAGGCAAGGTCCACAGTCATGTCTGAGACTAAACTAGTAAAGCTGCTGCATTCAGGTCTGTGCCCTGAGCATACACCACAAAAGCACAGGTAATTAAGTAAAATTAAAAAATAAACCTATCTTCTCCTGTCTCCCAGCACTAAGCAACACAAGCCATGACTGTAAACACAGATTAAGGGTACATGTTCAATGGCAATAGCTGGCCATCCCTCAACAGCAAATCCACAAAACAGCATGTAAGTCACAGGGAATGCTCAGGGAAGCACTGGCAGTGGGGCAGCAAAAGTATCTGCATGAACAAAGGCAACATTCTGATTTCAGGGATTCAGGTAATACGAGGAAGGAAATTACTTCCAAAGATATTGACAGGAACATCTGCATGAAAAGTTACACACTGAAGGTAAGAGAACCAAAGAGAACATTGTTAGGYAGCTTTGCACAGGCACTGTGTGTTYTAACAGGGGCAGTATTGTTTGCTCCTTTCTGGAATACAACCTCGTTCTCTAAAGGAGCTTATCCCTTCAAAAATCAGGTTACAGAAAGGCAGAAAAGGCGATGGGGAAAATGTTTATTTGTGCTCAATTAGCATATTCTTATGCAACAACTCTATTTAAAGTCATGAACTAATGATTTTTTTGCCTCAAAAGCTGATTTGCTTGAACACAAACTCGTCTTCTGCCATGCATTGCACCATTGATAATAACTGAAAATTCTAAAGAACCTGCAGTGTTTTTGAACAGAACCTGGTGGACTTTTTGGCTCTCAGTGCTCTACTTGTCTTCTTCAAAAAAATGGCAGAATTAGGATCCTGCCACAAATCATACAAGCTATGACCACAATTTCATGATAAGGTAGCTTCTCTCTGTTCTCTTTCAAGCTCTGTGAGTTACCCAGTTCAAGCTGAAGTTCTCCTTTAATTAATTCAGATGGTAGTTCTAATTATTTTCTTATGATATATTCAAGCAATACACTCTTGAGGGATTATCTCAAGAGAAGAACTAATTCTATCAACATAATACAAATTCCAGTTTATTGTATTTGATCTCTCAAGTGCTTCACCTAGGTCCCCTGGTTATGACTTTTAGAGCATCCAGTAATGTTTACGAACATCATACATTACAAACAACGTTTACAGACTGCTATTGAATCATGAAATGTAGCCTACAGACAACAAATGCTGTCTACAGACAACAGACTAGCAAATTATACTGAGCTTGTAAAGGAAATTCTGAAATGGCACATTAGGAGAGTGTTTTGCAGAACAGCAGATGCACAGTCTTTGAGCTCTAGAAAAGCCCTCAAAAAGGTTACAAAGCTGCCTCCAAAGACTGAGGAGGCAGCACAAACCACAGGTTGTGCAAAATCCACTCTTGTTTTCCACTCCGGTTCACTACATCTTCCTCCTTTCTGGTCCTCCAGTAGCAGGTTTTTCCCATGAGATTCAAACGCTTTACACAGAACATCMCATCATAGCTCACTGTTGCAATAATTTTAATTTCTGTACTCATCACTCACCAGACACACCCAATCACGTCATTCTAACTTCTCAGGCTATCGGAGTTGTACTTGTTTGTGCTTATATCCAGTCTCCTTTCACTGATGTTCCTGCCTCTGTAGCTCTGTTGAAAGCATAAACCAAAGTTGTCCYTTGCATCCTTCACACTGTGCCGTAATGCCAGGCTTTTAATCCCTAAACCAGTCTCTTTACTCAAGCCATTCATGTAAACGTGCACCTTTAATGAGAGCTATAATCACTAACGAATTCATACACTTTAAATGTGTCCCAGAGAAGTGTATGGCTAATAASCATGAAAGCATTTCCCCACGGATTTATGGTTTCTTTCTCTAAATTCATGTGGATAAACTCCAAATATTGAAGTTATACCTGACTTACTACTACATGACAAATCAGCCAACTATACCTACAACTCTTAGGCAAAACTTACTGTTAATTTTGAAAGTAGCATAAAAAATAGAAGCTTGACCTTCAAAAAGTTTGGTGTTTTCYTTCCTTTCTGGCAAATTATTTTGTSTTATTTASATTAACACCATAGGAGCCTCTGAAGTACTCATCACTCACTACAACTGAAAGGTACAATTTAAGTTACACATTAGTCTAACATACAGAGGAAGGAAATCACAGAAAATTTCTAAGAGGAGATATTCATCAGCTATTTGCATAATACATAAATACAGATATTTATATTTATACGGAATATACCTAATATTTTTCTGAAGCAATTTACATGAATCTCTGCACATTCAAAGCACCTTCATATCACCTTCATTTWTGCCTTGCTTTCCAGTTTATTAGTGGTTTTCCAACATCTTTTTCAGTTATGATAACTTTTCCTTACCACAAAGATGACTTTCTAACAACTTGCAACTGCGATGGCACTGTAGGGGCCGGAAAGTTAAAAAGTTATATTCTATTTAAATTAGCAATTTAATGACTGTCTTGAGTTCAAAACAGACCCCAGAAATCTAGTTCTTCGAAGGGGGTCAATTCCTTTGCATGAAGATGCAATTAACCTTTACGGGTCTTTGATTGACTCTCWGTGCCCTCCAATAAATAACAAGGACGGTGAAATTGAACGAGSCACACACTTTTACACGTTCCTCTAATTGCCGTACAACTTTTAGAGCCCCTCCAACTGAGAATTTCTCCCTCAATCCCCCTCCYCGACTCCAAGGCAGGGCTGCAGTCCTCACTCAGATTTCTCTGTATTCACATGATGATCCAGTAAACTCCTCCAGCACTCCACCCTGCCGACACACGCGGAGTTAAAATTAACTTGGTGGTTTGGGTTTGGTTACGAGCCGAAGATCCTCCCTCGTACAACAACGGAGCGCTCAGCAGCCCCAGCGGCGAGCTCGGCTGCCGCCCAGCACCGCCGGGCTGCCACGGCGGAGCCTCACGAGGAAAACAAAACCTCGGCTCGGATAAAGGCTTTACTGTACTTACTACGGGCAAAAAACCCAACCCCGAATGAAAGGCGTCTCATTATTCGCAGCTACTTGAAATTCAAACAGCCTCGCCCGAGTGTCCGAGCCCCCGGGTCCGTGCGGGTGCCAGGCTGGGAACAGTCGCTGCCGGTGCGGTCAGCGCGGACCCGGCGGCAGCGGCCACGGCCACGCAGGTGAGGAGGGACCCGCGGCACCGAGCGGCTGCCCCGGCTCCAGCACCGCCACCGAACCGCGTTACCCCCGCCCAACTCCGGCCGCCCCTGCCAAGTTCCCCGCCGACGGCAGAGCGGGGCGGCGGAGCCCGGGGCAGCGCTGCCTCCGCGGCGATCAACAGGCGCTCACAGCCCCGCTCCCCCGGTCGCTGCCGGCCGCCAGCCAGCGCTCGGCACCGCGGGGCAGGGGCCGCCCCGGGCGCGGGACCCGCGTACCTGCCGGGGATGGAGGAGCCGTCCGGGGATGGAGGAGCCGTCCCGCCGCCGCTCCGCGCCGCTCCCGGCGCCCGCTCCGGCCACGGCCGCCCCGAAAGTTTCCTGACGTCAGCGCGGGCGGGCGGGCTGGACCCCGCCTGCTGCCGGGCTCGCCATGCCGGGCTGGGCCGCCGCCGCTGCTCCCGGGCTCCCCCTGCCTCCCGCCGGCACCGCARAGCCCGGCCAGCGCACGGAAAGGGCGTCAAGAGTGGCCAGCAGTTGAGAAAGCCAGGAGCGCAATTAGTAGTTATGCGATCCTCGAGGAAGCATCTTGTAAGGAAAAGACAATAGATCCACTTGTACAGGTCTTGGTTAAAGCTGCAATGMATGTGGTAGGGTGCAAATGCTCAACATCATTCTGACTTTGCATGCTTCAGACGTTCTCAATCTCCATTAAAATGTGCTTTAGAAACACTAGAACAGTGTAAACCAATGTACTTTTATGGTATGTGCAAGTTAGGGACAAAGTATTTCCTGTAGAAAGGCAATGAATTAATATCTGCCGTATTTCTTTTATTCCTAGTGGCCTCCTGCCATCATACTGCYAGTAAGAGGGCATGCAGTGTCTGCGGAAAGGCAGGAAACTCATCYATTATTCCTCTCCCTGATTATTTTTCTTTAACAGCACATGAAAGATGCCTTTCATTTTACATTAATCAGTAGACAAACCTCAAGAATGGCAATTTAGARAGAAGAACAAAACACGTCACTCAAATCAAAGCAAATGTGTTTTGTCTGCAGCAGGTGTATTCTTGTTTTAAAGGCAAGATGGAAAACAGTCCAGGGTGGCAATTTACAGTTCAGAGTTGGAAAATCGTGGTAAGAAAAAAAAACCCATGAAGGGTAGAAGTCAAGAGCAGGCAGGTTTTTAAATCAGTAAGCTCTAGATAATTACATGCATAGATATGAATTATGTAAAAATTTAATTAGTGTGGCTGCCTTTTCCATTCATGACTGAAATAAAAACCAAAAGCAATCCAACTCCAGAATAGGTACACAAAACCCAAGCAAATTAGTGTTGTGTTTGTTCTAGATGTCCCAAAACTTCTGAAACTTTTCATCAGTTGATTCTCTCAAGTAAAGGAAACAAATGCTAACTTTTCACATGGTTTCAGAGTTATTTGCAGACTTTACTGGGAAATTAACAAGCTAAATTCCAAAAGATAAACAGAAAATGAATTCTAAGAAGGAAGAAAAATGGAAAACACTTTAGAAAATTGTATGAACCTTATATCCTAAATAACATGGCAGCAAAGAATTGTTTTCAGCATCCATATACATTTTAGGTGTGGGAAAAAAAACAACAAAACAAGCAAAAAATACTTCTACTAAACCTGTCCTTACTGCAACATTAAGACAGCTGAAGGAAAATCTGATGAATCTGAGCAAGACACATTTCATTCACAGATGATGCATGAGTGGCCAACAGAAATAAACTTTTTTTTGACTGTTGTTGTTACTGACAGCTATTCCCATACACCTTTCTGCAACATTTTGTTGGAGCTGACAACTGCATTGCATGCATCTCCTCAGCCATTTGTCCCYGTCAAAAACAGTGACAGGGACAATAGGAAGAGAGATAATCTAGGAATTGTGTGAAATCATTGAAGAAAAGTAAAAGTAAACTGCTATCCAGAACTTTCTTCTTTAGCAGTTTCTCAGAGATACAGACATAAACTAGTGTAGCACAAGTTTCACACTCAAATTGTCATAAAACATTTAGACTTCTATTGCCTGTTTTTCATGTTTGTGTGGCTGGTTTTTAAAGCAACAAGGCAGTTCATGAAGCACTTCCCTAGGCAAAACTGCAATTCATTTCAGTGTCAGGAAGCATCTTTGTCTATTTGGCATTCCATAACATACATCCAAAGCTGCTCTTTGTTTCATATCATAAACAAATGCTCAGATTCGTTCAGTAAATGCACCAGTTCTAGTTTGATTAGACAAGCTCAGCTGGCATCTGCAAAGCAGAGCACACTCGAGACAAAGAGAAAATGTTTTGGCTGTGGAAATACATGTTATGAGTTTTTCAAAGGTGATGAATTTTACTTGCAGAAAGCAAGTAAAATTAAGGGCACTTGAAAATTCTTTTTTGGTACCGTAGCAGATTCTTCACCAGAGGAAGCTAAAAATAAAATGTTACACAGGGATGTTTTTGGGTTTTTTTTACTTACTTTTTCTGAAGTTTTTCTGAAGTCAAATATGCTTGATGAAGTCTGGGTAGATTTTGTCCAAAATCAAATTATACCTTTTTATATGCAATAAAATTATATGTATAGAATATATTATGCAGGAAATGACATTTTTCAAGATCCCTTTCTGCATGCAAAATTCTTTTCTTGAAGAAAATGAGACATTTAACACAAAAAAGGAATACTCAGTACATAGGAAGCTTTCTATTTCTTCTGTGATRTATTTTTGACATAATCTGTACTGAAATGCTTAAATAAGAGGAATGTAGAGCAAACCTATTTTCAACTTAAATTTGATGCATAATATTTAAAGGGAAGAGAAGAAAATGTGACATCTTTCTTCTATGGCAATTTTTTTCCCCATCAGTGGTGGCAACCTTAGGGTGGAATGAGGACATTATTTGAGAGGAAAAGTARAGCAAAAAATATTTGAACTCTAGTGTTATACCTGTTCCTCTTAGTTTTTAATTGGGATGATCCATAAATCAAAAGWCTGTGAGAAAAAGAACCAAATTGTGACTTGTTCAGTAGCCTCTATCCACCACAATCCAAGGGGACAAATTCAGGTGATTACTAGGACAATCCTACATATGTGTTGCAGAGAAGTTGAGCAAAGAACCAGGCACACAAGAAATGAAAAGAGGATACTCAGAGGAAGAAAAATCTCTTTCAGAAACACATTGAATGGTTCAAGTTGGAAAGGACCTTAAAGATCATCCAGTTTCAACTCCCAGCCATGAGCAGAGACCTTTCAAAGGTTGCTCAAAGGCCCATCCAGCCTGGCCTCRAACACTTCCAGGGATGCAGCATGCACAGTTTCTCTGAGAAATCTATTCCAGCATCTCATAACCCTCAGAATTTCCTCCTAGTATMTAATCAACACCTGCCTCTRTCAGTTYGAAGSCATTCCYCCTTGCCCYAACACTACTWACCCTTTTRAAAGGTCCCTATCCAACTTCCACACTTGCAACTTGCCTCCTACTTGAGTGGTCTGATTTTGTTGTTCTCCTGTAAATGGCTGTAAATAAATGTCATTCATGTAAACAGATGGTGATGCCAGGGTGAAGATCATATACAATAAGCAAAAGCAATGGAATCACAATTCTTTTAGACCTATAGCTATGCYGAAATTAAAGAATAAATATTAACCCCTTGGACTGATTTACCAGAAAATAGTTACTAGAGAGGACAAAGATTGAAGGATTGCATCAATTACAAAAGCTGGGAAGTTTCACCACCCTTCTGAGCACTGTCTCACCTCTCACAGACCAAAAGCTACATAACATTACTCTACAAAGCTGTTAAATAAGAAACCAAAGCAATCCCTATTCAGTCCTCCTCATAAAGAAACAACTCCAGGGAAGTTAGTCCCAATTTCATATTTAGCTTCTAGTTTCTTTCATGTTACTATGGTGGTACAATGTGGTACTATTTAAAATTTTCCTTACCTTGCCAGAGAGCTACAAATTGCCACACTGTAAACAAATATCACAACCCCAAATTCATCTTAATAATCATAGGAGAGCATAACAACAATCAAGGGAATTGGTAGTATGTCAATCAAGGTAAGGACATCATTAGTAGTGTGATCATTTTAGGCATCACAGATGGCAAAAGCCATATTTGCCTTATTTATAAACTTTACCAACCACATAAGAGGGCTACTGTTGGTCTGATCATCACAGCAGATGCTGGTCTCTTTAAGGCAGCTCTATAATATACTACCTCAATTTTCACAGTGATTTGACAAAATAAAAACCCCTTCTTTTGGGAGAGGTTTTATGACAGAGGTTTATATTAATGTTAGAAGATGTGATATTGAGACAGGAGACAGGAAAAACATGAGTAAATRTCTGTTCTAGCTTTATTAACTGGGAATGCAGTCATGCTTTAAAGGTATGAAGGATTATTCACTCAAAATCACAATATTTCTTGTGCTCCCATTTATTAAAATATTCTTCCCAGTTATTTGATAGTTTTTTTTCTCCTCATTACGCTGTTATTCAGGTGTTTTTTTTTTTTTCTCCACCACTGTTAAAATTAAAGAGCAGAAAGAACTATTACATTACTTTAATTTGGTAGGTGCCACAGGCTACTCTATTTCATCCTGATGCCTGAACTATTGAGTTGTTAGAGTCCATTCAGGGCCTGAGGAAACCAGTAGTAAATAGAYGAGAAAAACAAGCTGCAGACAGTGCCCAAGTGCAGGTGGGGGTGACAGATTTACTGATATTCATTGCAAACCTGAGCTGGTGATCACTGTGGAATAACAAGATACATAAAGAAGGTTCTTTATGTCATAGCTATTAGAGTTTTCATCTCAAAAGCTGTCAGACTCTGTATCCCTGAAGCTTTTTCAGGGAGTATGCAACACCAAAAGTATTGTAGTTACCCCTACAAATTATTTCCATAATAGAAAAGCAATATTCCATGTAGAAGTTATCACAGAATAATGCTGGTTATAAATTTCCCATCAACAAAACCAAGAGAAACAGAGACATTGGGTACTTCATTCTCAAGTTTTGAGAAAAGGAAGATGCAATAGAAAAATTTCATTAAAAACTAAAGGCTAACATAGTATTCTTTGCAGAAAACAAGAATGCAACATGATTATTTTGGAGCTTTTCTTCTGAGCCAGTTATCCTTTGAAGAGTGATAGGACATCTACTTCTGAAATTATCTGAATGGTCCATGTTGTTTAGTCTATGACAAAACCCTAGAACACTAAGAAGGCCTAAAAAACTAACCATGCCACTAGCTTATAACAAAAAAAAAATAAAGAAATCATTACTCTTCTCTACACTGCACATGGACATAGGTCTTTAAAAATACCTAWACCTTTTGAAAAAAATTGCAACAAAAATTTACTTAAGGGTAT